CACACGCGTAACCCCCCCCCCGCCCCCCGGAGGGACAGCCTCCGACACTCTTGTTCACAGTGAGTAGCACCCTACACCATGGGTGATGCGGTTGACTCCAACGGGAATACTCATCCATTCGGAAACAGAAAGGCCAACAGGGACCTCCTGGTCTAGTCAGACCTTAAGAGCATAGGTCATAGAATTTCACCCAGCAAAACACAGCTGGAGGCGAAGTAACTGGCTTAAGGTCGCTAGCAAGCTGTGAACAGAACCCAGTCTCCTAACCCACAGTCCAGTACCCTGTCTACTAGGCCGTGCTGCCTCTCTTGGAGTTAAATAATGCACCACGATGCAGGTTATCAGAACCTGTTGCTTATACAAGTTCATATGATCATTTCTGGGCATGAACACAGATAGGGACGATCACATGCATATTTCAACATTTACCCCCATGGATGGGATCTTCAACCCCCCACCCCGCCACCAAAACACACGGACATACATACAGTATGACTGCATGGGGTCTGGATAATGCTGGAAGCCTTACATTCAATCCGTATCTGTTCTAGCTCCATCACCTCTGCTATTGACTCTTTTAGATCTTCCACAAATTTCTGCATTTCCTCTGCACCCAGAGCACAGAAGTGCAGTACCTGTTTCTTGTCTGAGCCTGACACTGGAGTCACCAGGGTGATGCCGTGGGGGTAATCTGAGAAGGAGACATGAAAAGACATGGACCGAATGAGAAACCCAGACCTAACTGCACCAGCTCTTGCTTGAGATGTGGCTGCCTCGCTCCCATGACAGTGCAACTTTCGGGAACCCGTAACCCAATGCAAAGGTGCAGTGTGCCATCATCAGTTCTCTGGGGCAGGGACATAGTTCTGATTTTTGTGTCTGCTCTGTGTTTGCCCAGCCTGGCAGGATGGGGTCTCACTCTTGGTTTGCCTTTGGGCACTACAATAACAAACATTAACAATAACAACACTCCTAGATTCTAATCACAGCTCTGACAGTGACACCTCTCTGTGAAGCGTGGCCCATTTAACCTCTCAGCCTATCTGTCCAGCGCTGAGGATGGAAAGGGCTCTGCCTGAGCTAAGTACTATTATCATTTCTCTTCTCCATGGCACACACCACATAGACACCCATAAGTACCAATTAGCAACAGCAACAGCTTATGCAAATGCTGCCATCTCCTCCCGCTCTGAACCCGGCACCATCAGTTACGCAGAGTGTTTCTGGCACTTCTCCACGGAACCTGACTAAATAATGACACACAGTGGCTGCATTCCCAGACCATCAAGGTCAAGCTGATGAGGTTTGGGCTCATGCCACACTTTTGTGGGTGCTGTTCCAGCAGCTCTGTTTTGTCTCTTGGCACCTCTGGGGTGGGGGGAGGAGAAGTAGCACCTGAACAAGAGTGTCAGGGAAGGCAGAGCTGGATACATGATACTTGTGGCGGGGGACGACAAATCCTGCAGCCGCACTTGCTAAGAGTGTGCTCCATCTGGTTCTGTCTCCAGCAGGTGCTGGCTATTTGTGTGGTCCAGCCAGTGGCACCCCGTTCTGCTGCAGAGTGGGCTGTCCCCCTCTTGTGCTCAGGGGGAGCAAGGAGAGACATTCAAGCTGCCTCTTGTGCAGGCACAACTAGAAGGATAGCACACTGCCCCAACGCACTGCCCCACTACAGCAATAATTCAGCCCCCAGCTTGGCCAGCATGCTCAAATCCCTGCTGATGGATCCCTTTCCAGCTGGCGATTCCAGATGCAGGGACCTTCCCTCCAGCTCCACCTGCCAAACCCCTCCAAGGTCCCAGCCCACAACAGACTTACATTCGTTCTCAAAGAGATGGAACTGCATCCCCAACAGGCCAACCGACTTGCAAAATGTGTAGGTCGAGGAGCTCTTCTTCTTGGGGCAAAGTTTCAGGATCTGTCATAGAGAGAAAGACCCTCAGCCGCTGATGCCTATCTTAGAACAGCCATTTTCCCAATCCATCTTCCAGTCACTCCTGAAAACTCATTTCTTCCACTCATCAGGTTCTAGTGCTGAACTTTTCTCCCACTCTTGCTCCTGATAGGTCAGTGTTTGCCTGGTGTTGGCTTAAATTAGACTTCAAGCTCCCTGGGGTAGAGGATGTGTTTTCAAAGTGCTGTGGACATCTGTGTCTCTACGTGAATAAAGAATAACCTACCCGGTCTGTGGTAGGGAAGCAGCAACTTGGCACTGTCCATTAGGCAGGATTCAGACAGGCAGGTGGCTCTGCCTACCACGGCACTGACAGATAAAGAACTGAACTTCACAGAGAGGAATGGAGTTACTGTGGAAAATACTGACCCGGCTCAGACTGCTAACGGGACACAGAACCGTCTTGGGACATGGCTTATTGAAGAGTTGGAGATTCCTTTAGGTTCTACCATGGGGGATGCTGTAGCCCCTTCTTACAATGGAAGAGGGGAGACTGGTCTGTTCTTAGGACGTGAGGTTGGGGGTGTGCCATGGTCTAGTTTTGCCAGCAGCCTGGGCCTCTTACTGCTCTCCATTTTGACTGTGTCCTACGGGATCTGGAAGCTTCTTTGACATAAGAACGGCCATGCTGGGTCAGACCAATGGTCCATCTAGACCAGTAAGGGTGAATCTACACTGCAGGGTTTAACTCAAAATAAACTGCACAAATTGAGCTGTCAATTGCATATTTTATTTCGCAATAGGGAGCGTCTACATAGCACTTATTTTGAAATAGAGCACTCTTCCTCCAACTTCCCTTACCCCTCGTACAATGAGGGTAACAGGAGTAAGAAGTCCTCCAGCTTGACAGTATTTGGACACCATTTCAAAATAACTGCCTGCTGCGTAGACATGGACTAAGTTATTACGGAACAGCGCTAGTTATTTCAAAATAGTGTTACAGTGTAGACGTACCCTCACCTATCTTCTGAGGGGGCAAAAATGCCAGGTGTTTCAAGAGGAAATAACCAGAACAGGATAATTATCGAGTGATCTTCCCCCTGCTGTCCAGTCCCAGACTCTGGCAATCAGTGGTTTAGGGACACCCGGAGCATGGGGTTGTCCCTGACTATCATGGCTAATTGCCCTTAATAGATCAAGTTATCTAGGGTTTCTTTTGAGCCCAGTGATCCTTTTGATTTTCACATCATGCCCAGGAGAGCTTCCTTCTGCTCTGCCTCTCCTTCAGTGCCACTCTCCTGCCTCATTCCACAGCACGCTCACCACTAGCAGGTCGTTGAAGAGGAACACTTCCCTCTGGTGAGTGGCCTGCTTCTGCACTTTGTTCACGTCCGTCACCTCGTAAAGGCGGCTGCAGCAGACCAGCCGGCGATGGGGCACAGACAGAACCTGCAAGACCCAAGAAAGAAGTTAAGTGGGAATTGTCCTCACTGCCCCTCCCAACCCAAATGATTCAGTAACACCTCTAGCTACCCACCTCTAGCTCTGCCCACCTGTGGCTCTCTCCTCACCATCTTTTTTCCCGACTGCCACAGCAAGAAGTGGCCCTGATGGAGGCAGGCAGTAACTGGGAGCTCTGTTATTAGTGAACCAGATCACCATATGTCGGGCTTACAGGGATCGTGGCTGGCTGCTTACCCTCTTCAGCATCCTCCCATCACCCACCTCTGTGAGTTTTGTACTTTTCTGGCCCTTTCACACTGTTCGGGTAAAGGGTGTGGTTTTGCCTTACTCTCAATTCCTGTGGGGTTCTTTTAACATGTGGACTCCTCAGGGAACTCGTGGGACCACTGGCTGAGAACTCTTTCTATCAGACTTTTCCTTTCTTTCTTATGTCCTCACAAATCTTGAATGAGTCTGAAGCAGGACAGTGGTACCCCTGTGAGGTGTCAGCAGGCAGGGCCCGTGACAATACTTTTGGCTAGAGAGCTAGTGCATCAGCCGTCAGTTAAGACAAATTCTAGCTGAGAGGGAACGCCAAAACAATTAGGAAAGAGATTGCAAGAAAGAGGGGAATCCAAGAAACTGTTAAAGGACAGAAGGGAATGGAAGGAGAGAAAGAAGGGATTGTGGGAAAGAGGTGACTGGGGAAGAAAAAGCATAAGGATGCAACTGCGATAGAAGGCAGGGCAAGGGAGGAGATGACAGAGGAGACTGCAGGAGAGTGGGAAGTAGAGGTGAGAAGAATAGAGTGAGGTTTAAGAACTCACTGTTTTCATCCCTACTATGGATTTCTCCACCTTTGTGACGTAAGTTACATGATCCTCATTGGATTTGAGCTCTTTCTGTTGGATCCTCTCATAGATCCCCACCACCAGGTCCCGGGGAATGTCAGCTCCATCATCCACCCCTGCAAAGCACAGACAAGGTACAGTGGGCTAGGCAGAGAGAAAGGAAAGAACCGACAGTCTTCAGCAGGCACCGATTGCTTCCTTTGCACTGTGTGTGTGGGGAAGGTGGGGAGGAAGCAATCATTTCTTGGTATAATCTGGTGCCTTCTCTGATGACAGGATGATATAATCAGGATAATGCAAAGGATTTCATTATTCCACTTCTTGGTACACTGGCTTCTTTCCATGTGTTCCCTGGCATTCTCTAGTCACACTTTCATATTTATAGATCTTGGGCCACTCAGCAATAAACCTTGCATTGATTTCATCTAACCGCAGACATTACAGATGGAAGAGACCTATTAGGAGATTGAGCTCAGGCCCCTGCCAGTGCAGGATCCTGCCTGGTCTGGCCTTGCTGCAAGTGTCCCCAGTAGTGTGGTTTCAACCACTTCCCTTCAAGATTAAGAAGTGATGTGGATGTGGATTGTGGTTAGATGACAACTAAAGTGAACCTCAAGATAAGAGGATGCAGCTGTGGATAGCAAGGAGAAGAAGGCTGAGTTACACAGGAAGAGGGAATAGCATGGAATTAAGGAAGGGAAGATTTAGGTGATCAGGAAAGTTTGTCCAAATATCTGAAGCACCAAGATGGGAAAGGAGGTATTCCAGGATATCCAACAGGATGTAACTAGGATGAAATCAAGCAAAGGAAAATGTCAGTCATCAGAGAAAAATTTTGAACTGTGATATTTATTTAAACTGTGTATGTATTTCTCAAGCAAAATGGCAGAAACTCCTCTTGAGTCTTTCAACAGAGAGCTGGACATATTGCTGGAGAATATGCTCTAGAGCAGTGGTTCTCAACTTGTTTCAGTCCACGGACCACCAGGCCAATCAAAAAAATTTTCGTGGACTACCTCCAGCACATGTAGCACAGGACGAACGACACAGCAACCGCTCCGCATGACGGCAGCAGCTACACTGATGCTCAGAACCTCAGATGGAAGTTACTGGCAACACAATGCGGTGCGTCCTAGGTGACACTACGGATGACGCGTCGCGTGCTTGTGAACACGACGTAAAACAGCCTAACGGCAGTGCCTGTTCCTGCCGTGTGACTTGACTTTGGACCACCGAAAAAGTCACCATGGACCACCAGTTGAGAACCACAGCTCTAGAGGACAATTCTGCATAGATTCACCCAGCTGATGGTCTAGCTAGGACCTAACCCGTCTCTTCCACCTCAAGCTTCTGCCACTCTGATTCAGAGAGAGCAGCAGCCCAAGTTACAGAAATCTCAGTTTGCCTTTGGCTTCAGCCCTAGCACACACACTCCTGCAGTGGCAGGAGTTATGTCTACCTGGGGCAGCACCCTTACCTCTTAGGTTCCGGATGAAGTCCTCCAGCATCATCTTCCTGTCGGGTTTGATGTTAGGGCTGTACATGTCTGTGTTGAGGAGGATGATTGCGAAGGCCAGGATGAAAATGGTGTCCGGGTTATGGAACTGCTGGACCACCTCCGGGTTACACATACAGTACCGCTGGCTGTAGTGGGAGCAATGCCCCGAGATACCATGGAGACCCAAAAGAGGAAATCAAATAGTAGACTACTCCAGATGAGCACTTAGCAAGGCCCAGACTTCTCTGGACTTCAACATGAAGGAGCAAAACACTTTCACAACCACGCCTGCCTTCATCTCACACAAACTGGGAGTATCTGTATGTTCCCTCAAGGCCCAACTTACCCAACAAAGGTAAATTGTGCCATATGAGCCCCACTGCCCCACAGGGAGCTCTGGGGACAAGTGTGTCCCGGCGGGGCTCCTCAGACTGGTGTATCTTGCTCCCCTAAGCACAGCAATTGTGGAGTGTGGCCCTGGGCCTGCCTCCTACTTCCCTGTTTTAGGGCACAGTACCCGCAGGTATGTGCTGAAGGAGCAGCCCCAGTGAAATAATGGCTGCTCCTTGCGTGGGTCACTCCCACAGGGATGGGGAGGTCCCTTGTGTGCCATCCCCCTTGCACAGCACATAAGGGACCATCTCACTCTGGCCCAGGATGCTGTGCCATCCTAAAAACATTGTTAATGCCTCAGTCCTCCAAGGAATCTCCTACTCTGTACCATGAATGCCACTAGGTTCCTGTGAGACAGGCATCTCTGTGCCTGCAGGACAGATGATATTTTCCCATTAGCCTGCCACTGGATTTACTCTTCCTTTAAAGGGAGGTTTAGCGCTGTCACTCTCTCTTCTTTGTCTTACAGCTGCAGAAGTGATAGCCACCCGCTTCACCTTGAAGCGGGCAACACATGTTAACTCTTTATGCTAAACACTCTGTTCCACCTTGTACTTAGCTATGAGATGCGGAGTATTTTCCCCAGAGCTGAAGAGGGGCTCTGTGTAGCTCAATAGCTTGTCTCTTTCACCAACAGAAGCTGGTACAACAGAAGATATTCCTTCAGCCACTTTACCTCGCGAGTGTCTTGGGACTAGCACGGCTACAATAACACTCTCATTCCAGTCACTCCTTTACTTCGCCTGACACCCCTACGTCCCACCTCTTACTTTCCACAATGTGAACAGCGGGAACAGCCAGCAGGGCCACAGGTACACCATAGCAAAAGCCCTCCTACCTGAAGGCCTCGATTAGCCGTTCCACCTTCTGGGCCTCTCCCTGCACACGGATGTGGGCTTGGAATTTCCTCAAAGCTTCATCCAGCTCCATGCCTGAGAAATCCATCTCGTCCACCACACAGCTAAGGGGAAAGGAACACAAACTCCTTCAGCACCAAGCCTACAGTAACACTCTCTCTGAAGGGACACAGGGCGGACTCATAAAGCAACTTGCCAGAGCTGAGAGTTGCCAAGAGAACTGCACTAATCCACTGTAAAAGCCACTAACACTTGGCTACAGCCTGCCTTATAGGGCACCAGGGGACACAAGAATGACACCAGCAGAGATTCCTATGGATTCTGCAGCAAGTGAGCAGTTCCTATGACGAGCCATGTACTTATTTCATCTCTTTCCTGTTGTCGGTCTCTTGCTCACATACTAACCCAAAACATTCACTCACCGTCACTCTTCATCGTACTCCTCTTCCCCACCCAATTCATCTACAACCGGTCTACTCATCCATTCCTCTCATACATGCCAGTCATTCATCCCATTGTCCCTACATGTACCCCTATTACCATTCATTCATGTGTTCCTCCTGCTTGCCAGTCTCTGGCAAGAAGTTCTACAGGTTGACTGTGTGTTGTGTGAAGAAATACTTCCTTTTGTTTGTTTTAAACCTTCTGCCTATTAATTTCATTTGGTGACCCCTATTTTTGTGTTAAGGAAGTTATTTATTTGTTCCCATATTTACTTTCTCCACACCAGTCATGATTTTATAGACCTCTATCATATCCCCCCCTTAGTCATCTCTTTTCCAAGCAGAAAAGACTTTTGCAGTCTCATTAATCTCTAATATGGCAGCTGCTCCATACCCATAATCATTTTTGTTGCCCTTTTCTGAACTTTTTCCAATTCCAACATATCTCTTTTGAGATGAGGTGACCACATTTGTACACAGTATTTAAGTGCAGGTGTATCATAGATTTATATAGAGACAATGTATTTTCTGTCTTCTTGGCTATTTCTTTCTTAATGATTCCCAACATTGTTTGCTTTTTTGACCATTGATGCACATTGAGTGAATGTTTGCAGAGAACTATCCACAATGACTCCAAAGGCTCTTTCCTGAGTGGTTACAAGTAATTTAGAGCCCATCGTTTTATATGCAGAGTTAGGATTATATTTTTCAATATGCATTATTTTCCATTTATCTAAATTGAATTTCATCTGCCAATTTGTTGCTCACTCACCCAGTTTTGGAAGATCCTTTTGAAGCTCTGCACAGTCTGCTGTGTGTGATTTAACTATTTTGAGCAATTTTGTATCAACTGCAAATTTTGCCACCTCACTGATCTCTCTAGATCATTTATGAATACATTGAATAGAACTGGTCCCAGCACAGATCCCTGTGGGACACTGATAGTTACCTCTCTCCATTCTGAAAACTGACCATTTATTCCTACCCTTTGTTTCCTGTCTTTTAACCAAGTTATCAATCCACGAGAGGCCCTTCTCTCTTATCCCATGACAACTTACTTTACTTAAGAGCCTTTGGTGCGGGACCTTGTCAAAGGCTCTCTGGAAATCTAGGTGCTCTATATCACTTGGATCCCCTTTTCTACATGCTTGTTGATCCTCTCCAATAATTCTAGTAGATTGGTGACATTCAGCATCCAAACAGTCCTCCATTCCCCTCTCCCATCCATACCACTTCTAAATATCACATATCCACCTGACCCCCTTCCATTCTATCCCTCGCCTACCCATATCATTTCCCTCCTCTAGGCATTCATTAAACTCCACCCAACCCCATCCCCACCCATTCATCCCAGAGACTATAGATTCCATCCCCCACCTCTTGATACTACCTCCATCCATAGCACTCACCCACCCATGCCAATTCTCACTCACAGCTGGCCATTCATACATCCTCCAAAACACATCACCCCCTCCCCATCCATTCTTCTCAGTTCATCCATCCCCGATTCAATGAACAAACATCTGTTCACCTCACTATTCTCTCACCAGTCTCTCCCCCCCCATTCTCACACACATCCATCCCTCCGTCATCAGACATTGTCTGTCTTTCCCTCTCCCCAATCTCACTTCTGCCTAGCTACTCCCAACACTCCGCCCTGCATCCCTCACTCAGTCTCTCAATCTTCTCTCCAGCTCACTCCTCCCTCCCTGCATCCACCCACTTCCCCTGACTAGTGCCATTCTCACTCATATAGGCCTGCTGCTGGGCTGCTTCAGTGGCTCCAAGTTTTCTGTTCTTGTATTCTTCTGAATAAGGGGCCCATCTTCTCTCCTGTTATCTCTACTGGATACATTAGCTGGGTTCTCTCTCTGTTGCTCTCCTGGGTATGTTTTTTAGGGGGTTCCCTCTGACACTGGGCCCTGGTTCTCCATCTAAAATGCTGCTGGATACAGGCCCATGATTCTTTACCTACATGTCTCCAGGATCTGGAGCCCAAATTCCTACCACCCTTGGGAATAAGACATCTGGGCACTTTCTTTGCGTGAAATACACATGCACAGACAAAGGCATATCTGGTTTAAAACAACAACAACAAAACCACAACCAAGCAAACCAGAGGGAGAAAAGCAAAGGAGCTAGTCTTCTGAGAGGGTCCATTTTCCATCAAGCAGCGGATCACAAGGACAGTCAGTGATGGTTTATGGAAGCAGAGGGAACGTCTACACTGCAATTAAAAACCCACGGCTGGCCTTTGCCAGTTGACTTACTAGCCTGAGCTTCACAAGCCCTAGTAAGGGACTTCTTAATTGTGGTGTAGACATTTGGGCTCAGACTGCAGCCCAGCCTCTGGGACCCTCCCCTCTTGCCGGGTTGGCATTAGGGGGGTAGCAAGCAGGGCTACTGCCCAGGCCCCCTGGCACAGGGGACCCCACAAAGCTAAGTTGCTCAGGAGTCAGCTTTAGCACTAGGTGGCAGGGCTCAGGACCCCAAGCTTCAGTGCTCTGTCTTGAGCACTAGCTAATTTAATACCAGCCTTGCTTGGTGGCTCTCTGAAACCCGCTCATGGTCCCCAGGCAGCCCCAAGTTCCCAGCAGAGAACCACTGATTTATATTACAATCAAACAACCTCTTAGCCTGAGCCCCAGTCAGCTGGCATGGGCGCAGCGTGGCTATATCTGAAGAGAATTCCACTCCCACCCCTATTTCCTTTTGCTATTTTTGTTTTTGTAGCCCTGGCACTCCTGTGTCCCGGGGGGGACATCCAGGCATCCTGCTGCTCAGCATTTAGCTTTGATAGCAGGAGAAGTTTTCCTCTGGTTAATCATTAGCAAGTTCCTGGCAGCAGCCACCTCTGCAGATGTAACATTTTTTAAAAATAAAAGCTCTTCCAGTGCTTCATTTCCCTGCACTGAGCCCAGCACTCAATTTGTAATGAAGGAGGTGCTGGGACCGGAGCAATTTTTTTACATTCATAACTGATGCAGCAAGTCCAGAGGTGCCGGGGCTATGAACTGTTAGGGTCAGCCCTGGCAAAGATTAAGCCTTGACTGAGCCCCAGCGAAAACTCTTGCTTGGGATGGGTGCCGTGGAAAGAAACACACCTCTTTGCCTACTTCCTTTCTATTCTGGCTCCAATCTGGGGAAAGCTGAGCCCTCCCTTCAAGTGAGTCAGACCCACTGCACCCCTGCAACTCTGCCACGTGGGTTAAAGGCTACACATTGTAATTTATACAGCTCTTGCTCTCTCCTGCTATTCCTTCACTTCCTATACTTTGCGTAAAGCTGGGTCATGCATGTCAGAATGTGTCACTTCCTCTGTTTGCTTACCCCTCACTTCTTGCTTGGAAGGGTTTCTTCACTGCTGTAACTGCTGCAGGCTTGTTTTTTGCTCCACAAAAGCAAAGCTGAGACTCTGGAGGCCAGCTGACAGGCCTGTCTGCACCACCTCCATCTAGTCCTTTGTGCCTTCTTTCCGTTAGGCCTCTCCAGAACCCACCCCACCGCCTTACCTTCAGGACATTCCTTATTCTGCCATCATAATTCCATTGCCTGCTCCATCCCTGCGGAACTAGTTCTGGCCCCCCAGTGGCTGCCTGGGTGAACAGGACGGGGCACAGGAGGAGCATGCACCAGCCTTTGGGAAATGCGGTGCTAATAGAAATGGCAAAAGAGGGACGAGATCTGATTTAGCCAGTCCCCCTCAGCTTGTGCTCCATTGGTCTGGCAGATTGACTTGGGCTCCAGCAGCCTTTCAAAGGTTCTCTGCAGTCTTTATAACATACAAACTGTAGCACGCGGATGCATGTTCACAGCCACTCAACTTCCCAGGACTTCCTAGGGGACTCCAGGAAGGAGGCTCACTTCTTTTCAAAAGAGGTAGAGACTGTGCAGGCTGAGCTTGGATTGCCTAGGCCAATAGCCACAAGCACGGTAAGTGCGACACTGTCTCCTCAGCCTCCAGTTCCTTGGTGCAAAGGCAGCTCAACCTTCCAGGGAGCAGGCTGCACTAGCAGCTGTAAGACCGGGGTGAGGCTGAACCAGGGTGGGTTTCTGCCTCCGTGGCAAGGATCACACAGCTCTTCCATGTGCCGTAACAGAAGGCTGGTTCATTTCTCCATACAAGCCCCGGTGATGGCAGTGTCAGTAAATGGACTGAGGGCAGTGTAACTGCCTGGCTGAGCCGGTCCCCTCCAGATTCCTCCCCCACTAACACAGTGGAACCAGCGATGAAAGACTGTCCTCAGAGTCCAGCCAGCTTGGCAGTGAGCCCCGGGCACCGTGGGACAGGTCTTTGGGAATCTGCTCACTGTTGAGTGCGGACATGAGCATTTAAGTGGTTAGCCGAGTGCCACCAAAATGAGGATTAGTTATTTTGATTCAAGGTGGTCCCAGCAAGCTGGGGCGTAGGAGAGCGCAAAATGCAGGCACCGGGCACCCACTGGGGATCAAGCCCAGAGGCCTCGCATTCCCTGGGGATGAGAACTGGGGCTTGGCACCCTCTGGGATCATTTTTCACTGTCATTCCATTTCTAGCTGCTGCTCCTTGGGCCTCCTTGCCCAGCGGTGGTGCGCCCAGAGGCACCTTGCACAACGCAGGCAGAGGCATTGTGCCAGGGGTGACTGTGCCGCGAGGCCAACAGCACAAGACTAACCCCGGC